ATTTTTTACCTGCTGTCCCAAAATTAATGAAAAAAAGTAAAATACCAACTAGAGAATAAAATACTATTATATTAAATATCTATTTTAATACACAGATGTCAAAAATCATATATATTTATTTATCGTCTCTTGCAAGTTGACAAGGGTCAATAGATCGAAAAGAAAGGGAAAGATCTGGTCACGGTCATGGGTCAGGAGGCATGGGGATCAAGAATCGATTAATTAAGCGAAATTGTATAAATTATATACTGTTAGAGATATGTAAGAGAAAAGCCACTGATCAGAGTCAATCAATCAATATATAAGGAATTGACGACAGAGAATCGCTTTCGACATTCTCTTTCCTCTTCAACAAAATAGTCTCTGGCGACAAAATTTTTCTCGACCCAACCTCTTCCACCACACTTATGGTCAGAACAGTCTCCTGATTCTGCTATTTTCCTATTTAACAGCCGGCCCTGCTTTGAGTAGACAGAAAACTACCGGCTGATGCTGCCTCTCGCTCGTTCTACTGTTATGATGATACCTGGCGCAATCTCACTTGCTAATTTTCTAGGAGTATATCATCATTTCAGTTCGAATTACTTAGCCAAATTACTCATATTGTATTCTGCGGACTTCAAGTCCTTTATTTAAATTTAATTAAATTTATTTCTGGCACCTTTTGCTAGCTGGCATTCTTCCAATCATTTGACTAGTCGTACCTATGCTTTTCGAATAATATATAGTATAGTATTTACCCTCATAACTGAAATTATTTGATCATTGTAGTGTCAATTATGACAACAAAAGCAAATACCAAGCCAGGAATAAAATTTACCAAATTTAGATTGATTGTTGTCATACTATTTTAGATACTAGAAATACTCGAATACTCGATTAGTTTAGAACAATGATAATAATCGACATTCACGGTATTTACAAAAAATTGTTTCGCTATTTCAACCATTCAAAAACAGTGATAAATATAAATAGTAAGAAATTCTTTATTTTTTTTCTTTTTTTTTAAAAAAAAAGGCTAAAACCAAAAAAGTTATTTCTTCCTGATCTGCAAGACATTACCAACCTCAGACAGAAAAATGGCCAAAACCAAAAAATCCGCTGTCAACCCTCTTTCACGTCCCAAAAAAGCCGCCGTCAACTCTTTTTCACCTCCAAAAAAGCTGCTGTCAACTCTCTATCACCTTCCAAAAAAGCTGCAGTCAACTCTTCACCTCCTAAAAAAGCTGCAGTCAACTCTCTTTCACCTCTAAGTTCAGACAAGAAAATAATCAAAACTAAACCAACTCCAACATCTGTTAGATCCCTTTCACTTTTAAGTTCAGATGAGAAACATGATATTTCTTCTCGATCTGCAACCTCTGTTGCACAACCCAGATCTGTCGACATTTCAGACAGAAAAATAATCAAAACTAAACCAACTCCAACATCTGTTAGATCCCTTTCACTTCTAAGTTCAGACGAGGAACATGATATTTCTTCTCGATCTGCAACTTCTGTTACACAACCCAGATCTGTCGAAATTTCTTCTCAACCTGCCAGACATCAACCAACTTCTTTTACACAAACTAGATCTGTCAATTCTCTTCCACCCCTAAGCTCAAGCAGGGAGCATAGTATTTACTCTAAGTTTTTTTTTTAAAAAAATGTTACGAATCGTATATATATTCTTTTTTAGACTAAAACTATTTGTAATATAATAATATTTTATTTTTAGAAAATCAACAAAGTTGGAGGAATATTGATGAAATTCTTGCAATTCAAAGACAGCAAGAACACTCTATTTCGACTATGAAAAATACTTTAAATAATCTATTATCTTCATTAGAATCTTTAAATAGTAAAATTGACTCATTAAGTCGAGCTGGAAGTCAGAGAGGATTAGAAGTTGGTGAAACCTCAGCAGCTGTGCAACAAAGACAATTTAAAAATGAAAGAGAACGAAAAAATGCACTTCGAGTATTTTATTAATATTAGTAATAATTATCAAAAAATCTATAAATTAGATTAATTTATAATTTTTCTTTGCATGTACCCTGATCGGAATCTTCCCGAATTAAGAATATTGTAATTTATTATCATTAAGGACATGTCAGATATTAGCTGAAATCAGTTTACTGTAGAGCTCACTCCTGAGAACTTTAGTCATTCTGATTGGTTATACATACTAGATTGAGATTTATCTACCCCACAATATTAGCTGATATCTGACACTTCCCTTATACAACTTAAGTTTTTATATTCTAAACTTAATCCTAACTAACCCTTGTTACAAAAATTCTCATTTGAGGCAGCCCACTTCTAAATCATGATGATTTCAATCTTCACCAACAATCATTTCACCAAAAGTTCACTTCACATAGGATTAGAGCTAGCATTTTATTAATTGCATGATGTCGGCTAAGTGATTGGTAAAGTGAAGTAAGGCAGATCCAATTTTGATGGATATATATATATGCAATAATTAATTGCAAAAAATTTTTTTTATATTATTGTTGTAGAGAGAGATTTTTATTTTACTGGATAAAAGGGGTGATGATTATGGTTTAGATCGCAATTCTACTTGGGCCGACCAAAAAGTTCGACTAGCAAAAAATACTATTCCTGTGCTTCTCGAAGTTTTTGAACGGCAATATAACACCAACAGAAATGAGATATCAGATATATTACAGCAACGGCTAAAATCAAAAAGGAATCTTCAATATGTTCAAATAGTCCGGTCCAGTCCGATCACTTAGACGAAAGAATTCACAAAAACACACGTCGAGCCAAAGTAAGAATTTTATTCAATGCTGCTCATTTCAACAGTCATTAGAATGGGTTGATCTTATTTTTTACCAACATCACATAGGGTTATAATTAGCATTTTATTAGTTGCATACATATATTACCGTATGCCACTGCTTACAGTACCCGGGTCTTATTCAAGAATTCCATTTTAAAATTGAATAGTACCTATAGGTACTGTGTGAAGAACCGAGTATTATATCTGGGAGATATATTATTAAAAGTAGTAAATCATTAGTTATAATCCCGGGTCTTATTCACGAAGCAGTG